TGTTTTTCTTAAATTACTCTTATTTTAAAAGTCTTCCTAATATAAGTCTGTTTAAGAATCTGACTTCATTATTTCTTGTCAGATTTCTTAAATCAAGTATACAAAGGTGTGTTTTCATTCGCAACATATTTTCTGGTAGGTATTTAATTTTAGCGTTTTTCATAATTTATAGTTAACCACTTTTCTTTCTGACTTGAATAATGTGGTGTTTTGTCTTTAGCCCTGTGGAGGAGGACAGAGATCCAAAGATAATCCCAAAGGATGAGAAAGGTATGTTTCTTGTCAAAACCAGCACTTTGATGATGGCTTGGAGAGACTGGTTCTGTACCGGATGGGGTATTTTGGCAGAAAAACGTTGGAATCTGTGCAGTTGCTCAATATCTTTCTGGGTATATTTTGAATCTATCTATTTAAAATAAATTATTTTGCTTTTATGCATTTTTCTAAGGATGCCTGTGTCGCACCCTTTTTGTTTGTATCTTGATCTTCCAAGGCAAATGTTAATATGAGGCAAATATGTCCCTCATAGCACTGCAGATGCTTAACCAACAGCTGGTAGTCGAGTCGAGAGCCTTTCGCGATTGGGTTTGCTTTACTATGCGCTTGTGATTCTTCATACAGACTTCTCTTTTGATGAAATAATTTGGAATCTAGTATTTAAATGCCACGGAAACTCCTGACTTCACATTGTCTTCAGATTAGGTTGACATTACTAAATCTTTGACCATGCAGATCCTGTTTACAATGCAAATACGCATCATAAGCGAGATGAAAATTCCTTGATCTACAGTGTCAGGTGCCTGCTCCTTCTTTTCACCATACTTACTCCTTTTAATGCGTCTTTGCAGCTCACCCCACCTCTCTATTCTCTCCTGTCTGACCAGGGCAGAAAACTTAGGACTGATTGTTAACATTGTTCTTAACGTACTGCAGGCAGGTAGTTCAGCACTGTAAGTGTGGAAGTTCCAGCAATTCCTGTAATAGGCCTGAAACTCATGAGATCTGTCTACCAACTGGACAGGGAGAATTTGTTTGGTTTTAATTGGGTTTTCCGACACAGGCTGAACTCCTTGTCAGCTGTTGGGTTTTCAGGATCCAGGGTGATACCTGTCTGTGCAAGCTACTGGACCTCAGTATCAGCTCCTTTAGGGTCTGTTTACCTCTTGGTCCAGTCTGTAATCTTGTGTTCCCTTCTTCCAGCATATGTAAGGGAGTGTTTTGGGCATGCTGTCGTTTACCCAAGGGCTTGAGTGTAAGGGGTTTTTTTTGTGGGCTGAGAAAATCTTCTTAAAGTTTGCATTCACAATGGCCTTGAGGAACTTGGGTGACTGCTAGCCTTGCTCCTTCATTCCTTCCTCCAAAGGATGTACTGTGTTCCATAACCTTTGTTTAAATTATTTTCTGGCTTAGTAAATGGCACTGGGGAGAGGTAGCTATGTGATGATGTAGCACTCTGCGTGTGCAGAGCAAAGCGGGTGAGACAGGAAGGTATAGAACTAGATACAAGTCAGTTCTGAGTCATACATTGCTACTTCCACACCTGTATGAAAGGATTTCGTTTAGGATGAGGCCTTTTCCCAGTTCCCTGCATTCAGTAGGAGAGCTGTATTAGTTAAGAGTGCGGAGAAACGATGAGCACGTAAGTCTGGCGAGCTTGGCAGTCGAGTTGCACGTGTCTAAAAGATACCTCCAGTGTGGAGGGTCAGTTCTCAATGCCTGTATCATTGTAGTTTCCAAGTTTGAGAAGACTTTATAGTCCCAGTCTTGGTCTTGTAAGTGCAGTACCATTGCAGCAGCACCTCTTAAAGTTTTATGGGAGGGCAAAACTGGAGATGTTAAGACTGATCAAAACTTACTCAGTAAGGACATTAGCATAGCTTAAATCATCTACAAAATGGTCTGTAAAAGAGAAGAAAGAAGCAAGTGCTTATTTTTCTCCAGGATGCTGTTGCCAGTGGAAGTGCAGATGGCCGTTTTAAAATTGTAGAGGAAAGCATGTGGAGCAAAAGCATCAAAGCCTGTGGCTCAGCTTTCTGGAAGGCCAAGACATTGCATCTTCCATGTGTTCACATGCCCGACACACCTTTGTCCATGCAGTTTTTGAGACTGGGAGATGACAGAGGTAGACTTGGTCTCCTTAATACAAAACGCACCTGGTTTATTAAAGAGATTGGCACAAGTGATTGCATGCTTCCCTAGGGGCCTTGCATAAATACTAACAGTGTTGTCAGTGCTAAGCTCATGTTTGAGACAGTAACAGAAATGGTTCAGGAGGAAAGAGGTGGGAAGACAGCCAAATTAAATAGCATTGTAGAAAGGTTCTGGAAGAAATGTCTCCCCTTGATAGAGGCAGTTCTGAGAAATTCCATGTATCGCCAAGAAAAAAGGCATGTGGTTTCAAAGCAGGTAGCTGGGCTGAAACCTGCTTCACTCCATTCGCTGGAGCCCGTGGAACGGAGCCCTGCCACGATGGATTAAAGGGCAGTACAGCTATTTCAGAGGAGCCTGGAAATGGTATCCCTGCCTAAGTGCTCCACGTTGAAACGCAGACACTAAACATTGTTCAGCTCCAACATGTTAATCACGATGCATTGGGCTTTCGGACTTTGGAAGTACATAGGCATTTATAAAGTTACCTCTCTGGTTCAGATGCTAAATCAGATGGGTGTTCTGTAGTTCTGGCATTGTTAGGGAAAGCTGGGTCTTCTCTGACTCCTATAACTGAAGTCAGAGGCTTCATACCGCAGCTGTGGAATCTGAGCAGGCAGAAGTGGGAGAGAAGTGTCCTTGCTTGCTTTCTGGTGAATGTCTTTACCTGAGAGATGCAGTTAATCTGCGTGCCGTCGTCATCCCTTTGGGGTCAGGGAGGTAAGGACAGCAAGACGTACACGGGTACTGACACAGATCCACAGCTCCAGCAGGTCTTTTCCTTAAGTACAAGTTACTGGGATCTATCCAAGTGCCTCCTGAAGAGCCACAGTTACTTCAGACATGCCCTAGTCCGGTGTCTTCCTTGAGGGATGACACAACATACCTGTTGCTCGTGTCAAAGCTTGTAGTCCCATCTTAAAGCTTTTGGACTTGTGGTACTACTTGCCTTCAGGATTGTGAATTGTGGGGGGAGGAGAATGTTACGTGTTGTATTTCATTTGTGATTTAAAAAAAGATTTGTGGATCTGCTTCTTTCTAATTCAGAAGTGGTTGTTGAAATAATGAGGATTTGGGGTATGTTTTGCTTTTGTTTGTTTGTTTTTCCTAATCAGGTCGCACTGCGAGCGGTTCTGGTAGAAACTTTTGGGTGAGTGGATTGGCTTCCACTACCAGAGCTACGGATTTGAAGAATCTGTTTAGCAAATATGGGAAGGTAAGGGTTGGTTTGGGGTGGGTTTTTTTAGCTTGAAACTGTCTCAGTAAGACTTCTTACGGTCCTGTCTCTGAAAACACCTTGAGAGGACTCAGATTAGCAAAAATACTGTGGGATGTCAAGGAAAAAATTGCTGAAGTACCTGCTGAATGACTGCTTCTTTATTGTGTTGCACACTTCCGAACAAAACTAAAAGTCCATTTCCGGTCCTTTATCTGAAACAGTCAGTGACTGTTTACATGTGCTTCTGCCTCCTGTGCTGCAGGCGAGTGTCTTCACCAGCTGGAAAGTCACAGTCACCACTGAATTTGCCAGGGTTATTGGAGACTTCCGCAGGGCTTGGGGGGTCTCCTGCAGCGGGTACTGGTGACAGACGGCACGGCAAGCTAAAGCTCCCTGCCAGCTGGGGAATGGGGAGAGCTGGATGAGTAGACAGCTGATGTCAGAGACATCAGTAAGGGTTTCTGTCAAACCTTTGAGACCTGTCTAAGGATGGCTGTCAGCAGAGCGTAGTGAAGGAAAAGCCTATGTGCTAGCGATTTGCTGCTGGCTGTTTCACTAACGAAGGCACTCCAGAACTTAAACGTGACTTTACAATAGCTACAAAGTGGGTTAAGTGTGGCGCAGCTTCGAGTTTGTCTGAAGGTCGTGAGACCAGTAAAACCTTACAAATTCCTTGTAACAATGAAAATGCAATAATTTCCTTCCATTTGGGGTTCACAGTTCCATCTGGCGACTTGGAACATTGATCACAGAGATGGACCACAAAACTTTAAATGTAATTAAAAACTGTGTGACAGCCCATCTAGTCTTTGCCTCTACTTAGATGCCATGGTAATGTTTAGTTGTTGAAATAGAATCAGTTTATTGTCCTAATCAGTTGAGTCTCTTGAGTATTAGCAGTGGCAAAGCTTCCTAGAACTAGACATACCTGCAGTAAATCAAATGCTCAAAAGTGTGTTCTTTATTCAGCTGTACCTTACCACAGCCCTGTGAAATAGGATTGATTTCTGTAATGCAAACTGAGCTGTACTCAATATATGAGGGTAAATAAGCACGGTGGGCTTTTTTAAGTTATATTTTTGGGGTAAACTTCCTGTTCCTTAAAGAAGACTGTGGATAACGTTGTGGGTCTGCCCCTTGGGAGTGACATGAAAACAGTTTTTTTGAGGGGAGATGGGAGTTAGCAGCTCAGCTAGCATTTGCGTGTGGGTGGAAATTGGCTTACATGTTTTTATTAGGTTATTACTCTGTTTGTACTTAAGGAAAATGATGATCATGATGATGTGAAGTTACCTGCTGCTGCTTTTGGGTTTTTTTTTTTTCTTAACAAGCTTTAGCACACACTCAGGCTTTGGCTGCCTTCTATTGATTCAGCTTTTGCAGCATTGCGTTGGCAACAGAAGCATGACTGGCTCCAAGCTATGCTCCTTTTGGAGGTGTTAATCTCATTTAAATAGACGTTTCCTGAATGGTGATGGGACAGGAATGAAACAGTAGAAATGGAGTTTGTGCTTCTTGCTGTGGTGGGCATTTGTTCCAGTGAGTGTCATACCTCTTTTCTTTTGGAAAGGTGGTGGGTGCAAAAGTGGTCACCAATGCTCGCAGCCCTGGTGCACGCTGTTACGGCTTTGTTACGATGTCTACAGCCGAGGAAGCAACAAAGTGCATAACTCACCTCCACAAAACAGAGTTACATGGGAAGATAATTTCTGTCGAAAAAGTGAGTACCGATCCTGAAAGGCATCCTGTTACCGTGACTGTACGAATGATCGAGACCACGTTCTTGGCTGATGATGTACAAAATGAATTTCAGGCAAAAAACGAACCTGCTGGGAAGAAGCCAAGTGAAAAAAAAGAGAATGAAGCCAAGAAAGAAGCAGTCGGCGAGAGGTACTGTTCTATAAATTCTCTGTGCAGAGGCGTTTTACTGTTCTGTCTGTGTTTTGTCAGGAAAACCAAAGTTACAGTAAGAATTTCTGTGGCAAACATTCAGAAGCGTGATAGATGCGTTTTTCCAACTTTTACTGCAAGACACGTTCCGTTGGCGTTCAGTGCCCGATTGCAAACGTTTGTTATGTGCTTCAGGGTAGGCATTGGAAAGCTGCATTTTCGAGCACGCCTTTTAATTTAGCTGTTGTGCTGGTTTGAGCTGGGACAGAATTAGTTCCCAGTAGCCAGGATGAGGCTATGCTCCGGATTTGTGCTGGGAAGGATATCGATAACCCTGGTGGTTTTAGTTGTTGCTGAGGAGTGTTTGTGCCAAGTCAAGGACTTCCTTGGCTTCTGGAGCTGCGCCTGCATTCCCAACTGCTTCACTGTGAGAAGCTGGAAGGGGATGCGGTCCAGCCGGCTGGCCCGGACTGGCCAAGGGAATATTTCACTCCATCAGAGGCCATGCTCGGAGTATGGGTTGGGCTGGGGGTGGGCTTGCTTGCTCTCTCCGGCTCTGGCTCCGGTTGGTCAGCAGGTGGTGAACCGTTGTATCATTTGATTCCTTTTCCATTATTTTGGTTACATATTACTAGTATTGTTAGTGTTACTGGTATCATTATTTCATTTACTTCCAATTATTACATTGGTCTTATTTTAACCCACGAGCTTCCTTGTCTTTTCCTCCGATTCTCCTCCTCCACTGCAGGAGGGGGGAGGTGAGCAGGGGCTGGGTGGTGCTTCATTGCTGGCTGGGATTAAACCACAACAGCTGTATTTTGAGTTTGGTGGAAACTGAGGTGCTTTCATGTTATGAATCTGTAGGAAAGGCAATTGGGGAATTTTGATCAGTATGTCACTTGTTTCTTCCTTGAATTTTGCTCTCATTGGAAAGGGCTTTCTCAGGCTGCTATCACAACCAGTTAAAGATCCGTCACCCATGATCCTGTTTCCAGAGCATGTTCCTCTTCAGCACTATGCTCTTTCTCTCTAGCATTACCGAAGAAAGCTGAAAAAGGCACCAAGAATGAATAAGATGCTAAGTCCTTTGATGTAATTGTCTTCTTGAGGCATAATTCCTATTAAATACTATTGACTGGGAAGTTTTTTGCCTAGTTGCCCGACAAAATGGTTCTCATTGGCACTTCATAGCTGTCATGTTGTGTAAGGAACTTTGTGGGCGTTAAGGAGTGGGGGTGGGAATTTTTCCTTTAGCATCCAGTTGAGATATCTGAATCATGACCAAGACTTCACGACAGCTGCACAGCACGGTCTGACTCTTGTATTTATGGAAGTTGTAGAAGGAAACGTTTGGAAATGTAATTGACTGTCTTTCCACATCAAAATTCTACTTTGTTACTGTGTTGCGAGCATTCTTCGTTATTTTTTTTTTATTCTGTATTAGTCTAATCTTTATCAATATCTGTTTATAGACATGGCAGTGTTAAAAGGGATGAGAAATCTGACCAAAAGGATGATCCTAAAAAGACAGAAGACAAAGATGAGAAGGAAAAGAAAGATAAAGATGAACTGAAGTCTGGTTCATTGGATCAACCTAAAACTATTAAGTCAGGTAATTTGGCTATTTTTTTCATTTTCATAGAGTAAAAGATATGGTGAAGTATAAATAATTAATTCTGGGTAGTTCTTTCCAGTGAATTGCCAATACTCTAGGATGATTTTGGGTTCTTAGTTGGAAATCCAGAAGGTATGAAGAGGGTAGGGGAGGTGTTTTGACATAGTGTCATCCTTAACAGAAACATTTGGAATAGGAGTAGGGAAAAAATTATTTCTGAAGAGAGTTAAATGCCCATTTTCACATTTTTAGAGAGCAGGAGTTCTGCTGTAGTGGTGAGTGCTGTGGGTCATGTAGTTTGATTGTTTTTTTCCATCTCTTGCCCCCCAACCTCTGATTATTTAGGAAGTAAAGGAACAGAGAGAACAGTAGTAATGGATAAATCCAAAGGAGAACCTGTTATTAGTGTGAAAACATCAACTACATCAAAAGACAGAGTAAGTAATGTTTCTGCTTGGAAACACCCTGTCCGTTTGCCTTGGGAACAAAGTCTGAGTCCTGCCAAGCTCCATGTAACCCATGCTTGCACTGACGTGTCCGGTCAGTTTGCCACGTGGATTTAGAGCTTAATTAGTAAAATACCTTCCCACATTTATTTGGGAGCCATATGAAAGGTAAGTGCTCCTGTGTTAACACATGGTGTGTCTGTAATGCTAAACACCAGCGATTGTGAAAAATGCGGGGACTGAGCTTTGAGACGTGATACGCGTGAGCTTAGCGAATCGTGTGTGATAGTTGTCCTCTTCTAAATGTTCTCCATTAAGTTTATCTACTTCATTATGAAATACAGAGCGTTAAGAGCCAGGATCGCAAATCGGAGAGCAGAGAGAGACAAGGCATCGTGCCGTTTGACAGGATTAAAGCACAGCGACGAATGAGGGAGGCAGAGCAGCGCCGGTAAGAGCAAGTGAAATCGTTTTGTTGGGGTTTTTTCCCTAGAATGAATGTAATTTTCTTTTGATTAAACTGACTAAGAGATAAAGAGGGATTTGATTTGTTTTTCACTTGTGATTTGTTACATGTTTATGGGTCACATATCTGTTGAATTGGGCAAAACTCCCAATTGACTGTGAATACTAAGCTTGAAATTGTGTTGGGGGGAAAAAAGAATTGCAGGTTTTTTTCTTGTTCTACTTTGTAGATTTTGGGGTTTAATTGATTTAAGTGTGCTGCCTTAGCTGGGCAGGCATTTAATAGAGGTAAAACAATAATTCTGTATTTGTCACACTCAAATATACAGGGAAGGACCAGGAGAAAAGTTGCCTTTCTCAGCATAAGGCCTCACCTTTCTTGTCATGGCTTCAGTTTCCACAGCATTTGAAATAGAACAAGAGGAATATTTATTTTATTAAGATACCTTGTGTCTGTAGAGAAATTGGGGGATTTCCCAGCAAGCCTTTGACGTTTCCACATTGTGTCTTTTTAGTTAAGAACCCGGTTCAGGCATTTCATTACTTTTGTTGGGGTTTTATTTCTGGTTTCATGTTAAATACAGGATGAAAGTGGTAATGGCCATCCTTCAAATTCCATGCTACAACTGGGACCTGAATTCCATGATAAAACACTTTCCACACATTACAAAACCTTATTAGTGACCTAATGTAAGTTGAATTGGATGGGAGGGGAAATGCTTCCATCCTTCTTACTGGAGAGGAAGCCGTCTCTCACAGGTAGATTTCTAAGCCTTGGTGGAGTCAGTGTCACACGTGCTCTTCTGGCTTTCAGAGCTGGAGGTTGTATTTGAGTAGGAGTGAGCTTGAGGCATTTGGATCCAAGTTCTCCTGACCGTATAGGGCGACTTGTCCCCAGGTGGGTTTTGTGGGAGTCTCTAAATACAAGTATTTCAGTGTATGATGAGTGTCTTCCCTCTGTGCCCTCTCTCCCACCCCCACACAGCCCAGTATAATTTCAAGGAGCTGACACAAGTTTGCAGTCACTGGGTTTAATTTTAAATACTTCTTTTGCTTTTTAATGTCCTTTATTTGGTGAAGTATTAACTCTGTATCCTCGTTTCTGTTAAAATAGCACACGTGAGCGTCGGGAGAGACAGCAGCACCTGCAGACCATCCGGGAACGAGAGGAAAGGGAGAGGCTTGAGATCGCTCGCGAGAGACTGGAAATTGAAAGGCAGCGCCTCGAACGAGAACGGATGGAAAGGGAAAGACTGGAAAGAGAACGGATGCACATAGAGCACGAAAGGAGACGAGAACAAGATCGCATTCAGCGAGAAAGGGAAGAGCTGCGACGCCAACACGAGCAGCTGCGCTACGAACAAGAACGTCGGTCTGCCATGAGAAGACCGTATGATATAGATGGCAGGTAAAGCTGGCACATACAGGTGGAAGCTCTCCGAGTGCTCTCAGCTGCTGTTAACGTGCAGGTGTCGATTGCACGGAGAGGATCGTATTTAACAGCCCCAAACAATCCCTTCTGCGGGTTTTCAGCACCCTTTGGAACGTAGTTACCCTTATGCTCTGCACAGGTTGGAAGGAGGGAACACAGTCATTGTCGTGACTAAAATAAGAACGTTCTGCCTTTCAGGAGAGATGATACGTACTGGCCAGAGGCAAAACGGATGGTGATGAACGACAGATACCATTCAGATTTCAGTCGCCAGGATCGCTTCCATGACTTTGACCACAGGGATCGTGGTCGCTATCAAGACCATTCAATAGACAGGTTGGTGTCTTACCTCCGCTGTGTTGCCTAAAAGGGGAAGACAAAGATGTATTTAATGTCACTTTTTGCTGCCTTTACTAGGTGTTTGGGTTGTGTTTTATTTTTAAACCCTGGCTTAGTGGCTGTGGACTTTTTCTTACATAACTGTGAAGAGATCTGGGCTGTGCCATGGATGAAACCTTCTGGCAGGCTGGCTCCAAGGGTTCTGCTTGCAGAGCTGTTTCACACATATGTAGAATTCTGAAAAATGTCTGGATAATACCGTCGGCACCGAGTATCTTAATGAGAATATTCTGGTTTCTGCCTTCGGACTAACTAGGTTTTCCAGGAATCCAGAATGTGTCATGGTTTCCATATGTTCCAGCCGTTCGTGCCTTTTGTGGACAACGTTGGCACTACATGGAAGCAGGCTGTGTCATCTGCGCTGTTACATAGATGGATGTTTATAGACTGCTGTACGTTTTACTGCCGTAGTCTGATTTTAACTGTCTGTTTGTAGGAGAGATGGATCGAGGACGATGATGGGAGATCGGGATGGACAAGTGAGTTGCTTTGTAAAGTTACAGAAACATTGCCTTTTCATAAGCTGGTTTTCTGTACTGTGTGTCAGATTACATTTCAGTAGTTAGGAATGAAATAGTATCTCCCAAAATCGTATGGATAACCAGACTGTCTTGTTTTCTTTAATAAGATGAAATTGAAACACTTTCATAGTAAGTTATAGTTATTCTGATACAAATCAAACAGAATTGTGTCAAAAAGGTAGAGTATTCCAAGAGATTGTGTAGAAATGGCAAAGGTACAAAGCATAAAATTTCATCTGTGAAACTGCACGGAAGTAACAGCAAAGCTAGTGGAGATGTCCACGTGTGTGTGAGGGTGGGGGGAAGGACCTTCAGGGCACGTTCAAGCTGTGAGACTCAGGAGGTGGATAGGCTGGAGGATTGGGCAGAGAGGAGGCTGCGTGGGGAGGTTGTGGAGTCTCCAGCTCTGGAGACACTCAAAATCCGATGGGAGACTGTTCCTGGACAGCCTGCCGTGGCTGACCTTGCTTGAGCAGGGGGGTTGGAGTGAACGATCTCAGGAGGTCCCTTCTAATCCTAAATGACTGAGTAATTACAGCTGGGCAACTGTAATTAGAGACCCTGTGTTGGGCAGGCCTGTAAGCATCCTTTGCCTTTCAGCATTATCCAGATGAGCGCCACGGAGGTCCAGACCGTCATTCACGAGACTCTCGGGAAAGCTGGGGTAGCTATGGATCTGACAGAAGAATGAGTGAAAGCAGAGGGATGCCGCCACAGTCACGGTCAGCTTAACTGAAAATGGGTCTTGTGGTGTCTCTAAGGAATATTCCCCGCGGGGAAAGTGGGATGCAGTTTTTGGAAGTACAGTTCTTTTTTTCCAACTTTCACCCCTGAACCTGTTCTCTGGGGGACGGGGTACGCAGGAGTAGCTCTTTCAGCCTGCGTTGTGCGTCGCAGCATGCATCTTGGTGTGATTTTTTTTTTTAATAACTTCACATCTGAAAGTCTCCCCGTCTTCATTTTTACCTAACATTTGCTAGCAGAGCTTGGTATTTTCAGGGTAGTGGTTCTTCCCCAGTTTGTAGTTGTTGGAAGCACCATCCCATCAGCCTTTTGAAAAGAAAACAAGTCAATAAAATACTTACAGGTTGGGGCTGTGTTGGGCGTGTTTTGAGGTTTTGTGTCGTACGAGTAAGCCAGCCTACAGAAAACACCAAAACACAATTGGTCAGAACACCAGACTAGGATGTTCAGAGTAAACTGGGACGTCAGTGTAGCATAAACCAGATTAAGAAAGTTTACTTTTCGTATTTGTCGTGTTGGTTGAACAGGAGTCTTTTTACTACTGAGGTGTTACTCAACAGGTAGCAATACAAATCCAAGAGTTGCGTGTACCTTGGTGAAGTATTTGAGCGAGTTTGACCTCGTCGTTTCACTTGAAACTGTTCTGTGTGCTCTGGCTAACGTGAGAAGGTACGCGTTCCACACTTTGCAGGGATGGACGTGACTGGGGAGATCACGGCCGAAAGTTTGAAGGACACCAAGATCGTTCGTGGCAGAGCAGTGTGGATGGAGGAATGATGGGACGGGATCATGAGAGATGGCAAGGTAGGCTTCTTGCACAGCAGCTTGTTAGTTGTGCTACGTGAAGCAGAAAATACAGGCATTGTTATCCTTGGAGATGAAGTAAAACTGTTACTGTAGATACAAAGTAAGCATTTTAACCTTTTTCAGGTGGAGGCAGAGGCAGACCTGGCCATGTGATGCATCGTGGAGGCATGTCAGGGTAAGAACAAGTGTTTGTCTCCCTTTTAAGGGGCTTCTCTCCTGTTTAAATTGACAAAGAAAATCAGTTATCAGTTATTTAAATGTCAGCAAACAACAAAATATTCCCACGGGGTTTCTGTAGTGAGTTTTACTGAGGAGTGCAGAATGATGCTAAACACCTTTAAAAAGCACCCGTGTTGTCAGCCTGCCCCGAGTCACAAGAGCTGAGTGTCTGCACCGCTTTCTAGGCGTGGAGGTTTCATGCAAGGCGGCAACCAAAGTCAGATGATGCACGGAGGAGGAATGCAAGGAGAAGGATTTGCTGGCCAGGAGAGAGCAAACAGACCTAATGATCCTCGTTTCAACCGTCGCTACTGAATGTGCGTTAATTTTTAATGCAAGGTGGCAGCTGAAATGAATCTGTTACCCAGGGTTACCATTCATTGTAACTGACGGGCTACTGTAAGTGTAATTTCTTTTTTTTTTTTTTAAGCTGCTGCCATATTATGTCACCCAATCCTGTGTGAACTCATCTGTTTTGTAATGTGTTGTTCATATCCCATTTAAAATGTTTGTTAATGAAGCATTCCATTTTCCATAAATAAAAGCCAGTTTATGGTTAATGGCTTTGTTTTCAGCAATCCCTGGGAAAACGAATGTATTCAGCCACGTGTTAAACCCTGTGACTTTCTTTCAGAGATGAAGTATCAGAGGCCTTACGGTCCCTTTGCACTACACTGAAATACCCCGTCACTTCAGACGTGTCAGAGTGAGCCGGCATGGGTGTCAGCGTCAGAGAGTGTAGATGGCAGCTGGCAAAGTTTGACCGCCCTGCCGCTGCAAGATTGTCCCAGGACACTGCTGGACAAGTGGTGAGGAATGTTTTTCATCTTGTCTCAGGTTGGTAGGTGCTGTGCAACAGAGAACTCCTCCTGCTCTGCAAAACGCTGTTCCCAGCACAGCTTCTCTAAGAGAAAATGCACAGGTACTGGTGAAGGTAATGACTTTCAAGTGTGAGTAATTTTTGTTTAGCTTCTGATAGATCAGGGTAGGCCAAAACTCCACCCATTTCAGGCCAGTAATTTACCCAGCAAGCCTTAATTTCCTGGAGGTGGATTAGAAGCAGCCACTGGCTGTGCTTTGCAGCATTTTAGGAATGTGTGGAGAACAAACGTGACTGATTAGAGCAAATTGTGTCACTTGTCACGTTCAAATTATAATTTGTCCTTATGCAGTCCTCTCTGGAGCAACGTGGCTGTAGCGTTACCCACCAGAGGTGGCTTTTGTGATGCCAAGAGGAAAAAAATCCCGTTACTTTCACAGCAGGGGCTCTGTGACACTCCCTGGGCACTTTTCATCGGGGTTGAGATTTCCCATGCTGGAGGAGGGTCCCTGTGCACAAACCATCTAAATTCTAAAAAGCTGCTTTGATGGCAGCGGGGAGTGGCCCAAGCCTGTCAGATCACGTGGACAGTCTAAAGGTGTTTTTAATGGTGCAGCAAAGGCACGTTTGCTCAGAACAAACTGGGAATGCACACAGATTTCCAGGCTGCTATGCTGTGTAGTAACTAACCACTAATTCTGGGGGTCTGGCTAGAGCCCAGTGCTGTCCTGCTTTTAGTCCTTGTCGTGGTTTAACTCCAGCTAGCAAAATACCACCAAGCCGCTCTCACAAATCCCCCTCCCCTCCTCCAGCGCAGGGGAAGAATCGGAGGAAAAAGAAATACGGACACTCGTGAAATTTGAGATAAGAACTATTTACTGATTGAATCTAAATGAATATATACAAATACTAATAATAATAAGTAATGAAAATAATAGGAAATAAACCACATGATACAATTATGATACAGTTTCTCACCACCCACTGACCAGTGCACAACCAGGTACTGAGTAGTGAGAGTCACACCCAGAAAGCCCAAGAGGTGCAGCCCGAGAGCCGCAGCCCGGGCGCTGTTGCAGCAGATTCCGAGCGAACCCTGTCAGTAATAGCGCAAGCAGGAAAACTAAACCAACCCACCAGCTCCCTCATGAACGAGCCGGCGCAGGAGTTACCAAACAGCTAACGGAGGAGTCAGGGAGAGTGTCAGCAAGTGTACGGGAGTGAATGAGAGAGTAAGGGAGAGAGTAACGGCTCCCGGACCCTCTCCTCGTCTCTGCCTCCAGCATGACGTACTGTGGAATGAAATACTTCCTTGGTCAGTCCAGCTGCCTGAGTTGTGTGTCCCCTGCACTGCCTGTAGCGAGACAGCAAGAGCTGGGAACGCAGCTGCAAGATCAGAAGCATAGAGAGACTTTGTATCTTGTGCAGGCATTCCCCAGCACCAGCTCAGACCTTCTCAGCGCTGCTCTCTGCATCCAGGAACAGCTTCATAGCAGCCACGGTAAAGAGAGGTAACACTTTCCTGACTGAACCCAGCACAATCCTCTTAATCCCCAGCTCTGGATACCTCTGATACAGAGGGAAAATAACAGCAGTGATCCCTCCAGACCTGCTCTGCTTTGTCTTTCCCAATTTGGATCATTGACCAGTGAGTTGCTCCCACTGGATATAACCTATGGCTGTCCCTGTTCTTGGATCTGGACCTTCTCTGCAGGAATCGCATGGAAACGTGAAGTTCTGGCACAACAGACCTGTCCATCTGTAGCTTTAAGGAGAGCATCTTCCCTTGTCCCCAGCAGGAGTGTAGCACCCCAAAGGGGTTACCCCTCTGCCCAGAGTTGGTTGGGATCACGGTTGCTGGTTCAGGCATCTGGCAGTACCATTGCCATACGCTTTACTTCCCTCCATGTTTCTGAAACTCATCACCTCCTCCGTGGGCAGTAGCCAGTGGAACTAGGGAATGACATGGGGGGGTGATGTGGGCAACAGCGCTGATCCCTACTGCTGCACTCCACGAACCAAGTCGCAGCCGTGCCAGTAACGCCAGCAGCAGCGCAGAGCAGGGCTGCTCCTGCACTCTGCCCTCCCGCTGCCTTGTACAGGCAGTTCTTTACACAGCCATCCAACTTGTTCCAGTAAAAGATGGCTGGGGTTGCGTGAGAGATGAGTCAAGTTCTGAAATTTTCCTGTTAGGAGTGGGGAAAACGGGCGTCATTTTTGATAAGGCAGCTGAGATCAAGCAAACTGTCGTGTGGCACTTTTGGAAAAAAACGTAGTTGGAAGCCTGTGGGAGTTAAAACCACAGTAACACCTGATGCTTAAGTCACTGGGTCAGGCTGTCCGAGAAACGCGTTGCTCAGTTGCTTTTTCCTCCCACGCCATTCCCAGGAGGCTGCAGCTCCCTCCCAGCAGCACGAACTCAAATGCAGCCCCATGACTCCTCGGATCCTAACCCCTCTAATCTGTGTTGACAGTCAGTCTGGTTGGCACCTGTGCTGCAGGAATCTCGGGGAGGGGGGGCGCACTCCCAGCATCATGGAGCTGGAGCTTCCCCCTAGACCATTAGGTCTAAGAGCCACTGATGGGCCCATCCCTCAGGAATTAACTTAAGCACTTTTTAAAGCTATTTATACCGTAGCCAAATCCTCTGAAAGCTCCTGGCAGTAGTTTCATCATGTAACTGTTTGTTTAAAAAAGGAAACAAAACCCCTGCAAATCCTCCTTCCTTCTTGTGTTTTGGATCTGCTCCCTAACCTGAGCAGACACTCCTCTGACTCTCCCTACCGCCCGCTGCCTGGTTCCTGTCCCGCTTGGTCTGCGACCCGAACGATGCAACTCTTGGCACATGGGGGTGGGAGAAGCGCCGCCTCCACTGCCGGCAGCCAGGACAACCTCCTGCCTAGAGCGGGCACAGGCAGCAGCTCAGGGACAGACACTACAGCAGCCCTCATCCCTGCCTGCAGCGACCCACACGGAGTTCCACCGGGAGAACACCACGCTGGCACCTGACCCAGCAGAACGGGGACATTCATTTTGCTCCCGTGAGAAAAGAATCCTCAGAAAACAGGGCAGGAATGAGCTGCCAGCTCCCACTTTCTTCCCAGGATGGATTTTAACTGTACGTTGCACACTTCTACCAGAAAAAGTGCTCGCTATCTCGCCTTCCTCTCTAGATGCCCCTGATGCTCGGTGACATGTCACCACGGTCCCTGCCAGGGTGAAATCAAATCTGCCCCATTTCTTGCATTGATGTGGTGGATAGTTGTTACTTTCAGCACCTTCTGGACCTACTTGTATTTTGGCAGGGAACTGCGAATTGTGCTGTAGTGGCAGCTCCTCCTCAGAGCTATCCATTTCCTGTGGACAACAGATGGATAGCAAGAGAATACTCCTGCTTTCCGGGAACCACTCTTCCCGTCTCCCGTTTTGTATTGCTTCTCAGCAGCAAATGAGGCCTCTGGTTAAACAAAAAAACCCATCACATTTCTGGTTTCATTCATGAAAAACCTGGGAGAAGGTCTGGTAGGACAACAGAGCTTGAGGTCTCCAGGCATTCAAAAACAAGGGAGTGAAAAGCTGTCCACGTGGACTGCGGAGCTGCTCACGTTGGTGAATCTGCTCACAGCCCAGCTGCACGACAGCCCTGTTCCTTGAACTCGCGACACAGGCGCAGCTGCACTCCTCATCCTTCACAGGGATCCTGCTGTGACTGCAGATCCTCCCTGTTTCCATTCCCTCTCTTGCTCAGCTGCCAAAAAGCTTCCCTCACAGAGATGCCAGTTTGTTAAAGGTGCTTCCAGCCCTTTTTACAGGCATTTAAAGAAACCAGCAGGGAGAACTGCAAGTCAAAGAGAATCCAACCTGAATCCACTTTGTTATAGCCAACAGCTGGTAAAATGCGAAACCGAAACCCTTGCCCCCAGAAAACCTGTGCTGTGGAGCCGAGAACCCAGAGCAGGTGTAAATCTCACAGTGCTGCTGGTCATGGACCATCCGAGGCCGTATCTGGATCAGTTGCTGGAAAAGTTATGGGTAAGCAGTCCCGCAATTTTCCTGTTTGAGCTCAGGCTTTGGGAACACCGGCACTGCCTACAGGACAAACCGACTGGGGGGGGGGGTTCAGTTTTCCTACGACTTTGCTAGAGTTTTGCATCACAGACGTAAACTCCCTCCTGTCATCATCAACCACAGCAACTAGTACCAGCTACTCCCAGTTGTGTGACGAGTCACAGGCCACTGGGAAGCAGCTCTGGCATCAACAATGTGCACTGTGCCAGCGGCACCCTCAGCCAGCCTGAAGACAAGTGCTTTGTCTTCAAACCAGACCTTTCACTGGTACCCTGGGCTTGGTTTTTGACTCGCTCTGAGCCAGACAGCATCCACCTTCAGGATTAATTCAGCTTCAGCGTACCGTGTTTAGTCAGCAAGCCCGGCAGCTTTGCACCAGGGGCTCCACCTCGGCATGTGGCCGTCACGTCATTACACCTGCTCCACGATCCGCCGCACTCTGCGTGCCAAAACCAACCCAGATACAAACGGAAGTTCCAAAGTCTTTTATTGTAGCCCTTGCGCAGCCGAGCTGCCCTCTCGAGGGGTGCGTCATCCCGAAGACAACACGGGATGGAGGGAACCGTGAACCCTGGAGAACACGGTCATTTGACAAGATCCTTCATGTACTTCCAGCCTTCCGCCGTGTATTCACAGGCCCTGGTGGGAGCTACCGACAAGGCGGACATGACTGTCTGCACTCCTGCAGGGAGAGCAGC